CTGTATTGTTAGAAATAGCTCGGTGGAACTAGCTCTCTAACTCCGAGCAGTACCACATTGTCTTACAGAGTAAGGTTAGTGAGCAGTCATAGTTCAGTTTCAGCAAACCACAGACAGTTTGTTCTGTATTCACAACAGAAGTGAGACAATACTAAAAAAATTCAACACTGGAGACTGTTGATGCGTCACGGGCTTTGGCTGTGTCTGAATCCCACTTGTTAGAAGGAAGCCATGACATCAGCTTTTGGTGAAACCTCTTTGTAAGTGGGTGACAAAACAGGTATGACACCTGACAGGTCATTCTTTGTGCATGCAGCTGAAGTGTTTCCTGTTTCTGAGGTAACTGTGTTGACACTGACTAAAATTATAGGCAGGACTAGGCCAGGGAGGTGACCGTCTCATAAACAGGAAACAAACTTAGCTGGTTAATAGACTTGTTATTGTCTTTTTTTCCTGTCCTTATGCTTTCAAGTTTGCTGTTAACTCTTTATCCTATTGGCCTGGTGCCTCCAAACCAAACTCACAGCAAGCTTGTTATCTACCTGTCTCTCCTCTGATCCTGTTTATCCTTCTGGTGTAGTGCTCCTGGATATTTAGTTCATTTCTAACTGATGCTGAAGTGGCTGCTGTTGCTGTTCAGTTGAGTAAGTAGAAGAGAAACTGTGCAACTGTAACTTGGGGAAGTGGACAGTGATGTTTTGTGACCCTGTGCTGGGTTGTTGCTAAATAGTATTGGGAATTTACTATGGAGAATCATGGCTGAGGACATCCCTCTTCTAAACAGGTTTCTCTTTTCTTCTGTAACCATCCCTGTTATGATGAGTACTGCAGTTCTCCTTTGCCTTCTGGAACAGCATTGAACTAAAGTGTTCTAAAACACTTTTTGGTGAGGAAAACAGCACAAAGCCTTTGAGAATGGGTCCTTAAATTCCTTAACTTCCCTCTAAGGGAAACTTTATCCTGCAGTGTTTGACTGAAGGGAAAGCAGGAAGTAAGAGTTTCTCGTTTTGTTTTTGTAAACAATCCTAGATAAGATACAGCTCGGAGCCTCCTTCCCTCCTTGGAGCTCTTCTCTTCCGTAGGTTCTGTTTGTGCATGGGTTGAAGCAGCAGGGCCGTGTTCTGAAGAACAGGTTTGGCAGTGTTGCTTTTCGCATATTTTATGCTGTTTTTTGACAAGAGTTTAGCACCTAATCAGTGAACATGTTGCTGGTTTTGTCACTCGAGCTTTTATCTGCCACATGCAGTACGCATGGCCTAAAATCTTTTCAGCTCTTGAAACCCAGTGGGAGTAGTTACTCAAGTCTGCAAAATGCTGAGAAATTCTGAAGTTCAGCTTCATTTTGAAATTACTTTCTTTGTAAGGCTCTTTTCAGATTTGTGGAAGACGTCAGGTTTGTCATCTTCAGCAGCAAGGTTTAGTTACTCCTTGGATCTGCTTTAGGTTAGTGGAGTGATTTTGTCAAACCAGAATGGCCTCTCTATTTTGTCGTTTTTGGATTCTTGCCTGAAATTATGTTGTATTTGTTTTAATAACCCAACAGAACTTTTCCATTGAAAAGAATGTATTGAAATAGATGCCAAATGTTTTGCTGATGGCCTCTTAATTTCCTTGGAAAGTGTTGAGGCGATGTAGTACTGGAGATTTCAGGAAACATTTTTTACCTCTTAAAATAAATCAGCCATGTTGCACAACATAAAATGGTAATCTTTTAAGAGATCCTGGTAGCTTAATCGGTTACTGTATCATAGGAACTGTAGTTGAAAGTAGCAAATTTAAATTGTTTTGGTAAACTCTCTGGCAAAGCCCTGAACTTCCTGAACCTTTACAGGATGGCAGGTTTGCCCCGTGGACTGAAAGCTGCTTGAATTGTTGAGGCTGATGTAGGGAGATTCATCCCCACTAAGAATATATGCACTAAAAATAAAGTCTGCTTTGCATAGCAGTCATAGCTTGCTTAATCAGTGCTGGAGAAACAGAATTTTAGCCTTGCATTGAGTGACCAGAGAGGAACCTGTGCACTTCTGCTTTCCAGGCAGGGATCTCTTAATTACTCTGTTTTCCTGTATACTGCTGTAAGTTAGCTTGCACCATTTGAAACTCAAATACTGTTAGTCTGGTGCTTGAGAGAGCTGCCGGGTTTTTTTCTGTATATCGGGATACGTACTGCAAACCATATATTTAGAACATAAATAGGAAGCTGCTTCCTTCAGCTGCTGTGTTGTGGCCTTGAGTCACGCATCTGCTGCTTTGAAAGAGCAAATCCCATTTAGACCCCAGCTCGGGCCTTCCTGTGGCACTGCCAGACTTTGCAGTTACAAAGTGGCAAAGCTTGTTGTGCTTCAGTGCAATTAAAGCATTAATTAAGATGGTAGTTCATGCTTTTCTTGAGAGAAAGCAGTGATTCTAATAGTGGGGTGAGATGGGCAGTGTCTGCGGGGTATTGTGTGGCTGCAGGGAAGATCAGATTTACAGCCCCAAACTCAGGAGTTCCAGTACCTAAAAGCTTGATTTTTGGGTGGCGTAGGTGTGATTGCTGTGCTTTTTGTATTGGTCTGAGGAGCAATACCCAGGGAAATGTGGTTTTTCTGCCTAGGGCCTTGAAAGGCTCTGAAACTTAAAAATGTCTAAAAGTGACTGAGCTGGAGTTTTATTGTGTCCTGTTCTCAAGTCCCAAGTTCAACCAGCCCTTGAGTTCTCCAGGCTGCTTCCTGAAATCTGGTGCCCTGACAGGGACTGGACTCCCCTTGCTGGCTGCCTGCGGTGGCTTTTGTGGGTGCAAGTACTGAGACTGTCTGCTTGATTTTTAACAAGTATTTTTCAGAAGCTTGATGTGGTCCAGTATGTTAAACCTTTCCAGTAAGAATGTCTTGGAGAGTACGTACTTGACATGTCCCGTGACACCTCCTGGATTATCCCAAAAGAGGAAAAGAGTTATTTAAAAACAAATCAAGACAACCCCAAACAAACCAAACAAAAGCCCAACCAAACAAAAAAAAAATCAGATACTGTGCTACTGAGAAATGGTGACTTCTGAGCCTATCCCCCGTGCTACAAAGCTGTTTCACAGTCATTAGGCTTTTAAACCTGTAAATAAAGGTAATGAATTACAGTTTGTCAGACATACAGAAAAGAAAAATGGCAAGTTTTCTGTAATTCTTCTTGCTGCAGTTTTAAACGTGCTCTGGAATTCTTTCGTAGCACAACTGCCTTGTCATTGAAAGATGTTTTCAGTATTGCTGCTTGAAAATATATTTTTTCATGAGATGTAAGGTGGTTTTTTGTGTGTAAATAAGATCTTCTATAGCTTCTGGGAGTGCACAGTGTTTTCTGTGGCATACTGAAAGTGGAGTCGGTTGATGATTTGACTTCCCTTTCAATTAGTTTACCCACGTTTTTCTTTAACAAACTTTTTCCGAAGAGCAGAATGACCTTCATCCCCTGCGACAGGATGTGTTGCTCCTGGTGCTCTTGGTATCTGTGGAGGATGAGGAGGAGAGTAAGCTTCCCCCAGATGTTGTATGTAAACTTTTCAGCCCTTTGAGGGGGATCTTGCTGCCTCCATTGCTGAGATCACCTGTGTGGATTCTTTATGATTGAAGACAATGTTTTAAAGTGTAGGCAGACTTGGATAAGCGTAGCTCTAAGTGTAAAAAAGTGAAAACACTTGTATAGAGGGAGACGGGGAAAGATTTTTCCTGTGCCCAGAACTTGTTGTGCTGTTGCTGTTCAAATCTTGCAGAAGATGGCCAGCACTGCTGCAGGGGTTGTTTTCTGAACTGATTTGCCCTAAGCGTTATGCATGCCAAGTTAACACATCACCTGTGCGATCCAGCTCAGTGATGAGGCAGAAATCAAGTACTAGTGGGTTTGGGCATATAGCTGAGACAGTAAAGCAGTAGTTTTTATTCTGAAAAAGTCTTCTCTAGACTCTTGGCATGAAGCCTGGTGACCTTTGTGTTTTGATCAAGTAGAGCTTCAAAACAGTGACTCTCCAGCTTGATTCCACCTTTGATAAATTGCAGTGCTGCTTCTGCGAGCAGCTTATGAGGAGCTCTTCCTTTGAGACTCCTCAGACTGTTGGATATGCAGGACTTGCTTTGGGATGCAGTTTTATCACATTGGCAAGCTGTAATTTAACAGACGAGATGTTAAGTGCCAAGTTTTGTGTTGTCATAGAAATTTATTAAGCTGGCAAGCTCCGCTGTTGTAGCTCACTGGAAAGCTGTTTCAGAAGAAGCCAAATGTTAGGGTTAGTTTATTGCAGTTCTTTGAGTGTTGCTCATTCACAATTGCTTGTTTTGGTGTGTGCAGTTAAGTGCAATACTACTTTGATGGTAGAGAGGCAAAATATTGCCGAGATGGTTAAAAAGCACTTTTTGAAATAGACTTATGATTGATCCTTTGATTCTGACCTCCGATTGTTGCTGTGGGGTATCTAGTTCATTATGCACCTTGTTGTCTTTCTCACAGTGTTGGAGGGGTAGTCATTCCTGTGATGGAGCTCTTTGCTAGCTCTTTCAAACTGGCAAAATGCGGAAATGAATAAATGTGAACAGGTAGTGTGAAAACAAGTTAGTCTGTGTTGTGAAAACCTCATGGTACCACTTTTTCCTTGTGGACGTGGTTATGTCAGCTGGTTTACATAAGTTAAGCTATCAAACATGTCTGTATTATCAGTTCTTTGTTAAACTTTATTTTTCTTGTTTGCAAAGCTAGCTCATAAGCAAAAACTTAAAAGAAAAAGCTCCAAGGCATAATGCTGAATTCTTCTAGGATTGAACTTTCCACCTTGCGTTCTGGTGGAAGTAAAAAATGCAGAGAAACTGCTAACTGTTTTTAACAGCTTATAAACAGCTTACAGAGTTATTTTTTTCTTAATTAAAAGAACTAAAAATCCAAAAGACTTAATTAACTGGTAGTGTTCCCTAGCAAGTTAACAGCACTGCCTGGAATGTAGCTGAGAAGTTGCTCCAGAACTTAAATCTAATGTAATATTGTCTTTCAGGTGCCATGTTTCAGAACAGAGGAAGACAACTGAGAAAGAAGAGCTGAGGAAAGTAACACAGAACCAGATACAGGCTAATTGGGGGAAAAAAAATTAACCTGTCTCTGAGGTGACTAAAGGGGAATAATGGTGATTTTGCGCCGGGCTCGGCCGCCTGCTTCCGCCCCAACCAGCAATGAATCTTGACTCGCTCTCGCTGGCCTTGTCTCAAATCAGCTACCTGGTGGACAATTTAACCAAGAAAAACTACCGAGCCAGCCAGCAGGAAATACAGCATGTAAGTAAGCTATGAAGATACAAAAGACATTTTGGAAAGCAAAAATGGGGGTATCACATGGAATTTTTCTTCACGTCTGAATTGTACTCCGCTGTGCTCTCGTGTGCATTGCTGTGAGCCGTTTTCTGTGGTGCTGAGGACCGCAGCTCACGTCTCTGGTATTGCCGTTGGTTTCATCCCTCCGGTCATGGAATATGGCAGCTCAGAGCTGAGACCAGTGTTAACTTTGTAGTTGAGTATTAGGATTAACTGCTGCTCCTGGAATGGGATATGCAGAGCTTTCCTGACTCCTTCAGGTTAAATCATTCAACTTCTGGCCTTTCCATAGGTTGGGAGAGGAAGGTGAATGTATGCGTTTACTGTTCAGAGTTGTGCTGGAAGTGTGAGTACATGGCTACTTATATCTGAATGCTTTCACTTACCTTGGATGGAAGATTTTTGCTTGTCATCTCGTGTGATAAAGTATGGCTTGGTGGTGCAGCCAGGCTGACTTTCGTGGCCTTGGGTTTTCAGAAGGCAGGCAGAGTAACAGATTGAAAGCCAAATATCTAAGATCTGGTCAAGAACTCTGGTTTAACTGACCCTTTTAAAAATAGCTCTGAGTAGCAGGGTGGACCAAAGAGCATTTTCTGCAGAGGAGTGCTTAGGAGGAAGTGAATGTTACTGAGCCAGTTTTAGAAACTGGTTTAGTTCAGTTCCCAGCAGACAGCTGGGCCAGTTAAGCTTTTTTTCCTTACCCTAGCGCAGTCCTGCAGTGATTTGTATCAGATTAGGAGGCCAGAGGACTTAAGCAAGAGTGAGTTTCTGGTAACAGCTGACTTCTTTAAAAGTGCATTCATTACTTATCTTGAGGTGAGAGAGTGACCTCAGCAGTATTTACTGCTTAAAATTATCTTGTAAGCAGTGGAGATGAAATAAGTCTCTTGTAACTTTTGTAAAGTTTCCGTGTTCGTGAAAGTTCAGTACTTACAGGAGGCTTATTTGAGATGTCCTTTCAGTCATACTGGTTTCAACTGATGATTTTTGCAGCAAGGTATGACTGAGGTCTGACTTGCAGATCTGTCATGAACACTCACATGAAAGATAGCAAACACTTTGATTTGGGAGAAGATACAGTTGATTTGCCATTCAGTTGGAATGTAGAACTCACACAGAGACAGATTGTTCCTTACCCTTCATGGGAGGCCTCTTAGACTCACTGTGGTGAGAGACTGGAAACCAGTCAGACACAAAATTACTGTTCTGTGTATGTTTGGTTATAAGGCAGATCTAGGATTTCAAGACTTTTAAATTCCTAAAAACTCTGTGATCCCTTGTCTGGTTTTTTGGTGTGTGTGGTTTTTTGATAAGTTTTTTGTTTGTTTTTTAGACTTCCTGGTATTACTTTACTTTTGTGGTTGCTAGTACCACTTTTCCTTAGATAGTTCAAGAGATATGTGTGTCTCTCACAGACTGTCTCACAGCACACCCTGCTTGGTGTAAATTTTTGGCATAATTCACTCGTTTTTACAAAGCTTATATCTAAGCATACAGAGTATGTGGGAAACCGTACTTAGAGCTGTCCTTGTCACAACTGACCAAAATTACACTTGCTTTTAAATGCATTGCCAGCATCATCATTTGGCAGAGAGAGAAGCTAAAGAATGGCTTCCTCTGAAGGGAATTTTTGTGGTCTCCTTTTCCTGAAGTAGTAGTGGTAAGGAGAGCCTGGTTGGAGAGGAGGGAAGGAGCTTGTGGACAGATTCATCTAGGAAAGCAAAACTTTCTGGATCTAGAAAAGTAGAGTTGGTTTTTATCTATCCCTGTGTTTGCCTAAACAAACCCCAACTACTCTCTGTATGGTATATCCAAATAGAGGTGGCTCAAACTTTATCCTGGATCACAGACTGGTTGGGGTTGGCAGGGGCCTCTGGAGGTCATCTGGTCCAACGTCCTGCTCAAACAGGGTCACCTGGAGCTGGCTGCTCAGGAATGTGTCCAGCTTTTGGGTGCCTCTATGGACAGACTCTACAACCTCTCTGGGCAGCCTGTGCTTCATGCTTGGTCAACCTCACAGTTAAAAAAAAAACAAACAGTATTTTAAGATTTGATGCACTCTTGTAAATGTGTGTGATGGCTGCCAAAAGAAAGGTTTCTTTCATTGCTTTCTGCAGGAAAACTAGCAATTCTCACTGTTTCCTGGAAAAGCTTTTGTGTGACTGTAGTTAGATTTGAAAGATGTTGCACTGAACTTCTAATCTTCCTTCCCCCTCCTTTCCATATGTTAAACTTTCAAATTATTAACCTTGTGGAGTTACTTTTTCGCAAGGAAGCAATCTAATTCTGATGCAGAGAGTTGCGTTGATGGCTTTAATATGTGCAGGTTTATCCTGTATCCATGTGCTTTGATGACTTCATCTTGGTCGTGGCACCCTAGGAGTTTGATCCAGCTTCATGCCAGTCTTGTTACTGCACCTAAATCTACATGTATTAATTGGGATTGCCTGAGTGAATTGCCTGTTTCCTGAAGCCTGAGCTGACTAGTAGCACTTGCTGTCTATTCAGTTTTGCTGGCTTTTACACCAATCTGAGCCTCTTGCTACCTAATCACGAGGGATGGCTGCCTTTGAGGACAGTGCTGCCCACATAACTGGAGTGGGGTAGTTACTCTGGCCTGACATACTGTATGTTCTAGCCTCTGGTTAAGAAGCAAAGCTATATCTGACTCAGATATTGCTCTCCAGCAGAACAAAACTTGGCAGCCACTGGAAGAAGCAGGCTATGAGGAAAAGGGAAGCACAAGGTTACGTATCGGTGGAAAAATCGAGATGAGAACAATATGAAACAGCAGAGCTGGTGTAGACACAGCCTAAAGCAATGCGGTTTTGTCTTTGCACAAAGAAACTGCCGGCAAACAAGGGGTTTTATGATGGGGTGAAGCAGTGGGCTTGGTGGAGGCAGTCAGAGCATAGGCAGAGCTGCTGGTTTTGTGCTGGCACATTTGGTGTCTGTCCTGCAGCTGGAAAGGGAGAAACGATTACAAAAAATTTCCCAATAGATGAAGGTTGGATTTCATGTTAGCTGCTACTGTTTGAACAAAGGAATCTAGTTACTGGTAATTGACTTCAAATTTCTGTGGATTTTAATAAAAACAAGTAATGCTGTCCAGTTAGATGAAGTTTAAAGAAATGGATAAGCCCTGAAGGTATACTTCAAACAGCAAGCTGGTGAGCTGGTCTGTAGCCTGGAGTTAAACTTCAGGCAAGTGATAGACGATGCTAACAAAAATGTGATGTTGTGGTTAAGATTTGAAAATGAGTGATAGATGTTGCAAATTAACAAATGCAGATCATCTATTTGTGACTGAGGTACAGAATTGACTTGAATGAGCTCTAATGACAGGGGAAAGACTTGGTGAAAGGTCTCAGGTGCAGGTGTTCAGCATGTGGGATTTGATTTGAAAGCTTGCTAATGAGCAAGTTTGAGATGAACTTTTTTCTTTAGATGACAGGAAACACTTCCTGTGTAATGTTCTCTTTTGTATTAAAAGACACTCGAGTAGTGGCAGTCAGATCAGTCATGACCAGGAGACACTGTAAAAACTGCCCACGAGATCAGTGAAGATGCTGCATGGTGGCTTGCTGCTGGGATAAATTCCTGCTATGTAGGCATAGCACAGATGTACAGTCCCAAATCTGTACCGTCGTGGAATTGGGCACTGTAGCTGTTTGAGGGGGTAGGAGGAAAGGGAAAAGTGAGGCCATGATACTGTGAATTCTGGGCTGCTTTTGTGGCTGAGAAGCTTGAAATCATCCTCTAGGTGATGTAGAAACCCCTTTTACTTAGCTTTTTAAGAATGCTACCCCTGAAATGCATGGCTGCTGTGTCAGTGACTTGTGTCTAGATTCTTTCTTTATCTCTTAGTTTATACATTTCGTTTGAAAATAGAGTTAATGACTTGGTTTCTAGGTTACTGATTAAGAAGGAATAGTCTTAGCAGTTTTGTTATAACTGTACATGACTTAACCACTGGAAGTGCCTCTGCATCCACAGTACAGACCCAGATCTTGCTCTGTAATGTGTATTTGCTTCCAAGTTGTGTTTTGGACTTTCTTTTTCCAGATTGTGAATAGGCACGGTCCCGAGGCAGACAGGCATTTACTACGCTGCCTATTCTCGCACGTGGATTTCAGTGGCGATGGTAAAAGCAGTGGCAAAGATTTTCATCAGGTATGGTTTGCACTGAGGCTTCTGCTTATTAGTTTTGGTTGTTAAAAATCTGCAGTGGGATTTGATCCACAGAGGCAGGTCAGAGGCAGTAGCTTCAAGCAAATTTCTGGTATATGGCCTTTCAATTGCAAGCACCTTTTGTCAGTCCTCAAGTCAGAAAACATCAAGTTGTTGATATCTGACATTTACAGTCCCTTGATCTGGAAAAACAGCCTCAGTACAGTTGCTCTTTCTACTACATGCATATCTCTGTTTTGAAAGCCTTTCTTTGTCTTTTAAAACTTTGTCCAAATCCACTAACTGGCACTTCCTGAGCATTTATTCTCAGGGGTGTTTTCATCCTTAAGCAATTTTACTACAGACTTTTTAGCTCATAAACAAGAACCAAATATTCTTAGTTTGTCTGTTGCAATGTGTGAGGGTGCTTACAGAAAATGCACACAGGGTGGAGAATGTTTGATCACTTTCTCAGTGTTTAAAAGAAAAACCAAACTAAGCTTGAAGCAGATTTGATTGAAAAGAAACTAGTTAATGTTAAAGAGAATTTGAGCACTTACAAGGCTCTTAAGCACCTTATCTGTTAGTTTTACTCTTTGTTTAGTTTTACCGCACACAGTGAGCAGTAGAAGTTTTGTTTTATTGGCCTGTTACAAAACAATACGAGTGTTTAAGTGATCTTGTTCTTTTCAGACTCAATTTCTGATCCAGGAGTGTGCGTCGCTGATTACGAAACCAAACTTTATCTCGACGCTGTCCTACGCCATTGACAATCCGTTGCACTATCAGAAGGTTTGTATGCTGCGAAAGGGCATCCCCATGGCAGAAACTGCAGCGAGTTGGTCTGTGAGAAACCAGCTCCTTTCCCTTGTGTTCTCCCTGGTTTGTTGTTTGTTGAAGGTTAAGAGTGGTTGTACCTAAAGTCTTCCAAAATTGAGCTTGCTCAGAAGTTGGGATTTTTTTGTTAAACTAAGGAAGCTATTCAGTCACTCTGACTGCAGATACATTTTCAAGTTTAATCTAGCCTTAGTACTTTATGGCTTGTTTGTGGCAGTCAGAACCAATAAATCATCAGTGCTCCTGTTTATTTTAATATGAAAGCCATGGTGGGGATTTAGTAGTGAAAGAGTGGGACGTGTGGAAAAAGCTTCAACTCTAGATGTATCCAAAAATAGATGATGTTTAGTCATATGAGCTTTACAGTAACCTATAGCAGAATAGTTACTAGTATTCCAGACCTGCAAATGGACTCTAGATAGCTTGACACATTACAAATGAGACTAATTGTGATTAACAATTTTTATTTAACTCTTCTTACCTGTTTCAGAGTCTAAAGCCTTCACCCCATTTATTTGCCCAATTGAGTAAAGTCATCAAATTAAGTAAAGTTCAAGAGGTAGGTGAACATTTACTTCAAAAATATGTTAATGTTTTTTGTCTAATCGTATTAGAAAGGATGTTGTCTCCTTACTACATTTGTTCTTGTTTGTAGGTGATATTTGGTCTTGCTTTACTGAACTCTTTCAGCTCAGATCTACGAGGTTTTGGTAAGTGAAGCTTCCAAAGTACGGCAGCAGGAACACCTTTTTTCTTTTTGAGCAGTGGCCTTTCTAGATGGATAGATGTGTCTGTGTGACCCAAGTAATGCAAGACCTTGCGATCAGTAGCACTACTGGAGTCTAACGTCCTGTTAAGAGGGGCAATAGGTAGCACAGTCATCTTGTCTCTTATGAAGCTGGAGGTCCCTTCTATGAATCAAATTGTGGTACTGTGTTATCTTAACTTTTAGTTGTTCATTAATATTTGAGTTCTGAGGTTTAAATTATGAGACTTCTATTTAAATCTGAACTGTTGGGGCTTATGGCAAACAAACTCAGGTTAAGAGAACGGTATCTAGCCAAGAAGAGTCTTCATATTAAAAAGAAATGTCAGGTTTTGACTGTAGCCTCTTTTGTTTTCCAAAGCTGCCCAGTTTATCAAACAGAAACTCCCGGATCTTTTGCGCTCTTACATTGACGCGGACGTCAGTGGAAATCAAGAAGGTGGCTTCCAAGATATTGCAATAGAGGTCCTGCACCTTCTCCTCTCCCATCTCCTTTTTGGGCAGAAGGGAGCCTTTGGGGTAGGACAGGAACAGATTGACGCTTTCCTCAAAACATTACGTAGAGGTGAGTGTGGTGTTCAGGGAGCCTTGACTAAATGCAAACTTTGAAATGGGTTTTTGTAAGTTACTGTTATTGTGGACTGAAATGATGGGGAGGTTGGTGAGGTAGAACTCAGGAAATGTAAATTTCTGTAACTCTAAACTGACAGGAAAGTGCCACGGTTCTGACATTGGGCCATCATGTTCTGTTTTTCTTGCAAAGAGCAGTAATGTGGTCTCGTGTTTGGGTTTTTTTGAAAACTTGTGATAAAAAAGCATTAAGTAGGAGTTACTCAAGTCTGTGCTTGCTTGCTTGTGTGGGATGCTGCTTGGATTTAACTAAAGCAACTCCTTACAGTGTGGGGAACATACATTACCATTTCAAATAGGTGGATTTTAAGCACTGGGTTGTTTATGTTGGGTGCAGATCTATGAGGAAACACTAGCACAGTAAGGGAAGTGGCTTTGAATAAAACGAGTTCATCTCCTGGAAGCTGCCATGGTCCTTGTGTGAAGGCAGGAGACATTACTAATACTGTAGTCTCTTGCTTTCTGAAACTACAGCGTTTGCTGTAAACACACTGGAATAAGGACTCAAAGCTTTGGACTCAAAGCTAACTGAATTTAACTCGACCCACTCCTTGGTTCTGCACAAACCTAGAGGAAGGCACCCTTCATGCAAGAGCGAAATATTTGTTCTCTTTGTTTAAGTGTAACTTCTTAGTTCATACTTACTGTAATGACAATAAATATATCAGCTTCTGCAATTCCCCTCGCTTTGTTTTGGGAAACTGGGAACTCTTCTCTGAGTGGCCCTGAAGGGTATGGAGGCATTGTGCATCATCGTAAAAGATAATGGTGTCTCAGGAAGGCCCACCCATAAAGTGTCTTTGCTGCAAAACTCCCACCCACACATTGATCCTCTCATTACTGTGTCTCTCTTAAACCTTGCTTCTCTGAAAGGAAGAAGGGAGTATTTTCTCTTTCCACGCCCAAGAGCCTAGTTTAGATTTGCAAGACTTAGACTCAACACCAGCTCCTTTGTTTCCTAATACTTCCTGATTTGGAGGAGAGGCATTTGGTTTACTGCTGTATTGTTTCCTGCTCTCTGCTTTTTTTGGCTGACTGCTGTTAGTGACAATCTGTAGTTCTAAACTTACCACCAGCATAGCTGCTGGCCCTTTTGGGCAGCTGCAGTGAACCTCTCTGGACCTAGTTTATTTTACGTTCTTCTTCTCTAGCAGTATCCAAGTACCAGTAGAGAACTGGGAGGTGGGGTGGAGGGATGCTGCATGAGTGCCCTCCCGATTTCTGCAGCAGCAGGGAAACTAGCACAGCAGTGAAGCTGTTTTGGATAGTCACTTGCATGCATCTGGTGATGTGGATTTTTTGACCCATTTCTCTTTGTTACTCTTGCCTTTAGATTTTCCCCAGGAGCGTTGCCCTGTGGTGCTTGCACCACTTCTATACCCTGAAAAACGGGACATTCTAATGGACAGGATCCTGCCTGATTCTGGAGGGATAGCCAAAACCATGATGGAGAGTTCTCTGGCAGATTTCATGCAAGAAGTTGGCTATGGCTTTTGTACAAGGTTCGTAGGAAAATAACTTGCAAGCATCTTGTGTGGTGATGGTTTTTTTTCTTGAGGCAAAATGTAGAGAACACTTCAAATGCTAAGCTAACTAGAACCTCATTAAGGATTATGCAGCCAGTTGTTTTGATTCTTATTTTGTATTTTGCTTTCTTCTAACGTACATGGCATTTCTGTTGGAATTGTGTACGATTTTGT